AACAAAAATCCATCTGGAGAAGGGATGAACAATCTGAGTGGTGCCATCCTTGAACCAGCCTAGGAGGCTCTGCCAGGTTGCCTTTGTATCATGTGCTCCCAAAGTTATTCCACTCTCTGAGCTGTGGCTGTTCCTGCAGGGTGTGTTGCAGGAGGAAGTGAGGAAGAGCCTGGTCAGTTGGGGGGATGATATGGGTCAGTTCCCTTCTGATGGTTTCTCTTCTGATTCACCAACCCCCTCTTGAGATTTTAGGCTTGCTAAACATATGGTACAAATCAGTGAAATTATTCATTGTGGTTTTCATTTGAGTGAGCTAGTTTCCGCTCCTAAGAAGGGTCTTAACAAAACAGGAAGTTTTTCTTGGATCTAGAAATGGAACTCTGCCTTCTGACATGAGTTTTTACCAACTTCTGCAAATCTCAATTTTCCTACTTCCCTGTCAAGAGGGTGGGGCAAATGGAAGAGAAGAGATGTAACCAGAAAATGCTGATTTGTACAGTAGTTAAGAGTTAGGGCTGATTGGGTTTGGGGATTCGGGGTGGCAGGGGGAGTGGCAGCCTGTCCAAAGCAGATCACCTCCTCCCAAATGACCACTCAATCTCCTCCCTCTTCTATCACTTCGACCTTGACAAAGAAGTATGAAGAGAGAAGTGAAGGGCCAAGGAACATTATGATAGTTGGTGGTCACCCCTTGATAATAACCTTTGACTTGTGTGACTCAGTGGACATTCCTCGAAACATTCTGATATGCCTCACCCACTAGATTCTGCTACATGGGGGCAGAGAACATGTTTTAGTACCCACCACATGGAGGGCACCCAAGAGTGCGTGAAGGAATACAGGAAGGAATACTTGATTCTCATAACTATCTTTATAGTGAGGTAATCACTACAGTGATTTGAATGATAAAATCACACATAATTTCTATTTTATGTATGGAAAAATGGAAACATTATGAATGTTACCTGCTCAGTCATGCAGCGTCAATTATGAAGTGGAACTAAAATCCAAGCCTCCCAATTTCTGTTTTAATTGTTTAACCAGTTAAAAGTCCTCTCCCCACCCCATATAACAAGACAGACCATTTATCGTCACTGCCATCATGTAATGTAAATTACCATCCAGAGATTCTATGTAATTTATGTCTACATTTGTATTAGACAAGACTGTCAGGAAAGACATCAAGATCCTGGTATCATTATCACTAGGGGATAGAGTGCCAATTCTTAAGTCCTTATTCGTTTACTCTTTGCCCCAAGAATACACACGTACCTACACTATCCGAAAAACAACAGAGAAGGCAGTACTGCCACTAGTTTTCAGTGTTTTCTGTCTATAGGGAATTCAGTCAGCTCCTAGTTCAGCATTTTGAATTATTAACCAAGTAGATTTGGAGTGGGAAACCACAGGAAGGGAATCATGGCAGAAAATGCTACTTGCCCTACTGTCTGAACTTCTCTGTATTTGGCTGCGTTAGGTCTTATACTCGGCATGTGGGACCTTTAGTTGCAGCATGTGAGATCTAATTCCCTGACCAGGAATTGAACCCAGGCCCCTTACATTGGAAGCACCAAGTCTTAGCCACTGTACCACCAGAGAAGTCCCTGAACTTTTCTCTGTTGGTTGTTGAACCTATATTCTAAGGAATACAGATCGAAACATTTAGTAGAACAGTGCTCAGGTTTCCTGATCCTGAATACAAATGTACTCTTTGGGAAGAACATGATTGAGTTTGTCAAGCTTTCTTTTGTTTATGGGCACAAGGACCCGTTTCTACCCTGGTAATCAAGAGTGGGTCCTTAGTCCAGAACATGGTAGTTACATCACAGGTATGATTAAATACAGATGCAGAGATTTATCTGGTATTTTCAGCAGATCATATATTCTTGGGTTCTCTCACTTTCCAGTTCTCTCTACCTGATACTAACCAACTCACCCCTGCCTTTAATCCATCCCTCCACCACCCCCACCCACTTCTGCCACCCCAGTTCAGAACTTGTACATATGGTGCCAGGGTTTTGTTTAGGGCAGCTGCTCAAATGAGCCTTCTTGCCATCTAACCTCTCAGGCAACATCATGAACTCAAGGCCACACCTGCCACTTAGTATACATTTAAATTAATTATTGGAAATTAATCATGTATTAACAGGATAAGTTGACAAAGGATAAACCATGGAGTAGCAACCTAAAAGAAATTGAGCTTTTTTTATTTCTCTTACAGGGACACAAAATATGCTTATCTTCCAGGCTGAGTTACTCACTGGCCAGATTCCAGCCAGAGACTGTAGTCTGTGACCTTCCTGGGTCATTCCTGGAAGCCCCTTTATAGTCTATAGCCAGAATCTCAGAGAGAGGTTGCTAAAGTCCTCCAATCCAAGTTAATTAGCAGTTCTGGTGTGTTCTTGGACATCTGTAACTCATCCAGGCTCCTCTAGATTAAAATACCTGAATGAATGCTGGAGACATTTCATGGTTGTGTTTTGAGAATTCCCTTGGAATAACTTGGAAGGTTATTCTCTAATACCATAAAGCATTTCCCCCATTTTCCAAGTAAGGGGTGTAAAGTCACACAGCAGCGTAAGGATTTAAACCTTTCTTTGTCTAAGGCTAAAGCCCAGTTTGTTTCCACCCCTCACTAAGCAGAGTTGGTCCAAAGGGTGGAAAAGTCATTTGACAGCATTCTAGCCCCTTCAGCATCTTCCCGGAGTAGCTTTATTTGCTGTAAACAGTTGTAAATTTCCAGAACCACAGACACACCCATATAAAAATGTTAATGACTAAAATGCCCTGTAAAACCAATAGAAATGAACAGTGTATTGACGTAGCACTGGAATTCTGTCTCCTGCTTCCTTCCACCAGCACAGATAATTGCGAATGAACAGGATTTTATTTTTCTTAGATTTATAGTCAGATCTCTCAAATCTGACCCCTTCTATCATTTTGTGAACTTATCATTATGGAAAAAATGATGGTGAGTGATATACTTTAAGCTACTTTTCAAATAATGTAAAGTCTGTTCTCCTAAGGAAGAAACTGAGGCTTGTTTAAAAGACAACTTTCCCAGGCCCCCAGGCTCTACCAAAATTCGTGAAGAGGACACACATGTGGGCAGCTCTGCTGTTAGTGCTCATGCTGTCTAAAAGATCCAGAAACTGTAGCTTCTGGTGAAGTGCCCTGCTGAACAGCAGGCTTAGAAAACAACCAAAATCCCACTAGGGTAAAAGAGGTTCATTTGTTTTCAACTCGTGGCCCTTCTACATTCCAGGAGGCCCACCCCCCAGGCCTGTGTCTATGGCTGATTCAAAACCTTGCACCCACACAAGCCTAGGCATTCACTGGGATCCAAACAAAGAGGTGAGTGAGGGGAAGATGGGAGAAAAGGTAAAAGAGAGGAAAAGCAATTACATGATCATATACTTGCCCCAAGCAAGTGAGCACATATGTTGGGGAGGCCTGGCTGATTGAAGGGCTGCTGAATGTGGTTTCGATAGCCAAGACCCTGCCTTTGATTCTATAGCACGGCTTCCAGTGAGAGAGCTCATTGCCCAACATGGGGTGACCAGGCTGATCCGAGTGTGGACACCTCTCCCCATCAGAGTTTATTTTATATGCTTGCATGGCCAGATCTGTGTTCCCAGCTGTAAGGCTTAGGGTGTGCAGTGTATTCCGTGGAGGGTAAATCAAAGCAGCTGCAATCTTCTGCCAGGAAAGAACTTACTGCCCCAGCTTGGAGGTTCAGTGGACGATGAGTGCAAAAAGCTTTCTGGAATAGAAAATGAGATACCCCATGGGCCAATCTTTGAAAACTGCAAGCTGCCAAGCAAATGTGAACCATCAGGGATCTTAAAAAAAAAAAAAAATCATTATGGCAGGGCTAGATAGATGGGCTTTCTTGACAGGAAGAATCCTCTGAACTGATGACTGAATGCCTGAAGGGAGTTACAAGATTTTCCTTGCACTTCTGAAGACTACATAACTTAGCATTCTCCCTTTGGAAAGTGTTTCTGATGCCCTTTGAGGCCATGGGCTCTAGAGGGTGACTCGAGTTGGAAGTGTGGCGCTGACATTTATCTGGGTGACCTAGAGCTTATTTTCTCTTCTGGAAAATGGGATAATATCCTTTGCCTAACTAGATTGTAGTTTTGAGAGTTAGAAGTAATGTACAGTGCCTGTAATTATATACCCTTTAAGAAATAGGGATGCAAATATCTACCATGCTTCCAGACGTCAGAATTGGCATGAATTGACTCAGTAAGATGGGACCAGAGAGGAGAATCACATCTAAGCTTTTATTCTTTATTTTTTAAACTAGTCATTAGCATTCTTCACATTCTCCAACTAGCAGATTATGAGTCAAGATCAATTACTGTCTTTAAGTATGTTGAGTACTGACTGATCTATTAAGTATAAAAGAAAGATAGCTAGCAATTATTGTGTTCTTAATATGTGCAGGGCATTCATGTTAGCGTTCTTATGATTATCATCCTCATTTTACAGATGAGAAAACTGAAGTGAAGAGATTAAGGAACTACAGTTAGTGCAAGGTCACAGCCTAGTGAATGTCATGACTAGGAAATAACATGTAGATACAGAGTGGGGGGGGGTCAGTCTTGGCGCATGTCGGAAAAAAGCAAGATCAGTCACACTGGGAAGGTAGATTGAAATTTAAATTTTATTCTCTTCCAGTTAACAAGCTCAGCAAAGATAAACTATGCTTTTGTCATTTAAAAATTGCACTAGAGGGCGCCAAATACACAACTGTGACTTTAGAACTGTTTTGCTAATATAGTTCCCATAGTGCAACAAAACATATAATCAGTAAAGATTCAAGCCAGAAGGCCATCCCAGAAAGAGTGTGATGCAGTTTAGGACAATTAAACAGTTGTATTTCTAGCCCCACAATTAAAAGAAAGGAAAAACCCTCGTGCTTTATATTCAGCAATTTATAATTTGTCTCTACCTGATACTGATGTTATTCAAAGTGCCTTTCAGCTGGGTTTTCAAATTTCTCTTTGCTCTGCAAGCTGAGTGGTGAAGAGTAACCTGGAAAAGGGTAGGGTAATCTGGATGAAAATAAATTTTTAAAAATTAAACACTGAGATATTTCATTTTTTAAAATTTATTTAGCAAAGTAAATCATGCATTTTCTTTTTAAAGAAAAGAAATACCCCACCTTACATCCAAGAGCTTAAAATTAAATGACCACCACCCCATTCTTAACCTCAAGAGGCAACATCTTTGAGAGGTAACTCCAGATTCCTAAATAATGTTTATGTTTCTATTTCTTGATTTATAAAACTGACATTATTTGTTTATCTTTATGGGCTTTCCAGGTGGTGCCAGTGGTAAAAGAACCTGCCAGCCAATGCAGGTAGAGATAACAGATGCAGGTTTGATTCCTGGGTTAGAAAGATCTCCTGGAGGAGGGCACAGCAACCCACCCCAGTTTACAAAGTAACTTTTATTTCCCCATATTAAGAGAGGAATAACTCAGCATTGCATAACATTTATTTTTTTTAAAATAATGAGATTACTTTGTATATGGGATTTCATCAAATTATAAATGATGCTCATCCTTCCATGTCATTAAGCATTGAAAATGTCATTAAAAAAAAAAAACCACAAAACTGTAGTGTAACTTACATAAAAAATGTTCTAAAGTATAAGGAAACTCCACCTCTTTAACCAGAGTGAAGATAAGAACATTTCACTCCACAGTAGGAATTGTGATATTTGAAGATCTTGTCTTAGATATGCAGTAGTGAGAATAGTGTCTGAAGGGGCAAGGACTTAAAGAGTCCTGCTGGGAATGCAGAAATCAATCGAAACAAGTTAACAACTCAGCCTAGAAAAGTTCTAATTACTCCTCAACGTCTCAAGATCAAATGGATCATGAATGAGTTAGTCACAAGTTTGGAGTTTGTCAATTTTTTGGTGGAAAATAATTTTTGTATGCTTAGTTCTCTTATCATTTCCTTATAAATTATCACAAGCAGCACAGAAAACTAATAGTGTCAGTTTTTTCTTGTTAGTGCAACCAACACCACCCCATCTCCAACCTGCACCTGGCTCCAAATGGGAGCGGGCACGGGCTGGGAAGTGTTACGGTCTGTGTCCATCAGCAGCATGAAAGGTACTTGGGAGGAGGCGTCTCGACTACTGCTAGTACATTTTTTCTCTGAAATAAAACCAGAACGGTGCTACAATCATACCATACCTAGGCTTGTCTACCATCCCTACAAAATACTCATCCGGTATTAATGGTCAAGTTGAATACAACAGAAACTTCTTCAGAACCAGGAGCTTGAAGGATGCCTGGGAGCTGGTAACATATTAAGAAACACCAGCTCTTTCAGATGGGAGGAGGCCATTCCTATGGGGACGGGGAGAAGCCTTACCTAACACAACCAAGATAATACTGAACAAATAGATGCTCGATAAATATTTTATACATTTCCTTATTTTTACTTAGCCTTTATGCTAGATACAACTCTATGCCAGGTATGCTAAGGGATTTGTATGTTTTACCTCATTAGATCCATCAACAAATGACTCAGCGACATTCTTTTAAATTTGGACACAGCTGGTAAGCGGCGACAGGGGCCTCAGAATTCAAATACAAATCCTTCCCGTGGCAGGGACATTATCGTTCTGGCCTCCTCTAGCAGAGCATAATGCACAGTCATTTCCACTCGGCACGTAGGACAATGGACAGACTGACAGCTACCAGTATTTCCGAAAATGGTTGCGGCCAGGTTCAGTTTGAGCCTTGTGCACCGCGGCAAGTTGTAAGATACATTATATACTTTTTGGAAGGAATGACAAGCTGACCTTAAAGTGTGTCAACTAGGACACTGAACACCGAAAAGGTTAAAGCTCTGGGCCCCGGGGCCCCAGGAAAGGCTGGGCGGAAGTGGGCTCGGCCGCGGAGGAAGTGCGTTTTTGAGGCTCCTCCGCGACGACGCGGGCGGGGCGGCAGCTCCAGCCCGGTAGCGGTTGCGCGGCCTGCCCTCTCCTTCGACCCCGTGGAACTGCTGGCTGCCGGCAGCCTGGCAGTCTCGGCGGAGGGGCGGCGGGCCTCTGGAGGCGCAAGAGCCGCTTTCCGGGGCCAACCCCGGCCCCTCCCCCGCCGCGAGGGCGGCGCCCATGTGACGCTGCCAGCGGCCCGGCTACGCCCTTCTCGGCGCAGGCCAGCCGGCTGCCTGGACGAGCGCGCCAGGCCCCGACTCGCTCGGGCCGGTGGCCAAGCCACGAGCTTAATGCATCTGCTGCGCAGCCACCCACAGCTCCCTCTTCCAGACGGGGAGCCAATGTTTGGACGGCTGGGTAGAGTTCACGAGGGCAAATTCTATCCCACCAGGAGCGAGCGAGTTCTGAATGAAGAGAAAGGGGATCTTGGGTGTGTCCACTGTATGATTAAGCCCGTTTATCATATATACAGTGAAAGGGCCTATTTCCACAAAAGGCCAAAACTGGACTACAGAACCTCTCCTTCCTCTTGATTGGCTCGACTTTGAAGAGTGTTAACTTCTGTAAGTTCCTCACTGTGGCTTCTCACCTCCACTTTGAAGTCAGCTGGTTTCTCCAGGGTCTGTTGAGGGAAAAGGCTGTCCTAAGCTAGAATGGGGTGCTGGGGTAACAGTAGCTAAAGGCCTCATTACTAACGACTAGTCCGGGGATGGCAGAGTCGTGTGTGCACTCTGTAATGCACATTTACAGCATGCTGAGAATGCTTAGGCTTCATGGGGCTTCCCTGGTGGCTCAGATAGTAAAGAACCTGCCTGCAATGCGAAGACCAGGGTTCAATCCCTGGGTTGGGAAGACCCTGGAGAAGGAAACGGCAACCCACTCCAGTCTTCTTGCCCGGAGAATTCCATGGACAGAGGAGCTTGGCAGGCTACAGTCCATGGGGTCGCAAAGAGTAGGACACAACTGTGCGATTACCACTTCACTTCATGGGGCTGTCAAAAGGTCAGGGCACAAAATTGGTTAGGAATCTGCATATTTGGGATCTAGGGGAGTATCTCTGGAAGAAACTGATGTTAAAGGTCATTTAAGTTTTTTTCTGGGAGCCTGAAACAATCTTAGCCCAAATAATTTGGTTCCATGAAACGCCATAAGAAAAGGATTCTGATGAACTACTTTAATCCACACTCTGGAGGTGTTTTGAAGCTGTATTCCCTATGTACAAAGATCTTGCTTTTTGCACCTGAATTCTCCTCGACTATTTTCCAGTTAATGGTTGGGTTCACAGATTACAAATGTAACTGTAAAAAGTTTTTTTAAAAGCCTACCAAAGGTTAGCAGTATCAGATTGTTTATGGTAAACCTACTGTGCAGACAAGTAACTTCCTTTTAGATAACCAATTTTCTTAAATATTGCTAATTTCCTTGTTATAATATTTAAACTCATTTGGCCAGGCAAAATCCTTCTCTCCTGCCTCCACAACTAATCTTTGAAAGTGTTTTCATTATTCTGACATCCTAAAGTATCTTTTTTTTTTTAACATCAAGTTAATCATGCAGTTTTCCTGTTCAACAAGAATAAAGAGAGGGACTATCAAATCTCAGATGTGATGCAATTAATTCATCTGTGTGCAGCTGAAAATAGCAATTTTCTCTCCCTTCTTTCCTCATAGGATTGCACTGTAAATTCAGAGCTCCTTTAAAAAACCATGATTGCTCAAACACACTATTTACAACTGTTCAAGCTATAGCCTGTAATATTTGCATTCCTGAAGTCTTATTAAAATATTAATCCGGGTTTCATAAAACATCTCATAAGTGAGGAGCCTGTATTATGGTATCCTTTCTCATAATTGTATTTTAAGAGACAAACTCTTCATTGAAATTTAGTACCTCAAAAAAGGTTAAATTTTCTCGAGTATACCTTTTCAAAATACAGGACTGATTTGATTTTAACTTGGTAGGTTGTAAAAAACAGGCACCACAGTTAATTCTGCTATAGGTTGACCCAGAATCCCCCTTTTAAGTACTACTGGCTTAAAAGCAAATACATCATGGTTGCTTGGAATCATTTCTCTGGCTAATCTCAAGCTATCCGTATTTTATACAATCAGGTAGAAAATATCTATGGAGGCATGACAGTCACCAAACAGTAATTTATACGAAAGTGCAAATTTGCTTTGGAATTCTTGAAGTTCTGTCCTATTATAGGAAAGGAACACAGCCAAATAAAATGTGCTGGATGGAAATGTGGCCTTTTTATAGAAAAACCAGTTTGTACAAATGCTTTGTTATTTATTCAAGATGTTTTAGGCTCGGAGATAATGTATGCCAAGTTTATTAAACTAATTTAAGCTCTCTTTCACTTATTTATGGTTAAAATGTACAGTTCTTTATTACTTTATTGCCGACCAAGGGCCTGGGGTTGAGGGAAAGCACTGAAGTGGACCAAGCCTTTGCAGGCCAAGGACCTGAATTAAGTTGTGAAATAAAAGGTCCTGTACCACAGTCACACCTTGCCAATTACTTGGTAAAATTAGTGGTGCACTGGGAAGACCCAGAGGGATCAGGTAGAGAGGGAGGTGGGAGGGGGGATCAGGATGGGGAATACATGTAAATCCATGGCTGATTCATTTCAATGTATGACAAAAACCACTACAATATTGTAAAGTAATTAGCCTACAACTAATAAAAAATAAATGGGGAAAAAAAAAAATAAAAGTGACTAGCCAGTGACTATAAACACTGTATTCAAGCTGTCTCACTTCTGGGCCCTTAGAAGAAATAAACATCTGTCTCTCTTTGCAAAAAAAAAAAAAAAAAAAATTAGGTAAATCCAGTGAGACACTTCTCAAAGATATCAGACAGATGCTGCTTTTATAGCTGTGTCCTCTGTGACAAGCGGCTACAGCGTTCTTGATACTACCAGTCCTCAACCCAGTGGGACCTTGTACTAAGATCAGTGCCACAAGGTAGAAGAACATGCAATATGATCATATTTGCTACTTCCTAAACAAATATGAGAATATACTTGCTAAGTTTGTATATTGCCAACAAGTGCTAAATTATTCTGCAAAACGAAAGATGACTTAGAGGA